ATATCAGGCGAATAGGGCGGATGAGGCACAAGTTTCCGGCCTAATTCTTCTATGGTGTTTTGAGCCAAGTTTGATGTGTGTACCCGGAAATTGTGAGCGAGTAAATGGATTGTCCTTGGATTAACACCTCTTTCTCGTAGAATTTCATCAACTTTCTTCAGCTGTTCGGCGTAGATTTGAGAAGTTATAGTTTTTGAAGATTTTCGTAATTCAAAATAAACGATTACTTTCATATTCCAAAAGACCGACAGCATAACTTTCTTTCCGTGAAGTTCTGGATGTGATGTCGGATCGGCCTTTCTCCTTTGCTCAACTATTGTCTTTTTTGTGTTGCATTATTGAAATATGTCCACTTTTCGTCTATCATCGAAATACATTCAAAAAAGCACTGCCCGTAGCCTTTTTCCATAGAAACCGAGACCATAAAACTCGATTGGCTTTGTTTTCAGGGGATAATTCATGTGGGACCCATTGGCCACAACGATTCCTTTTTTCAATAAGCGCAAGGTGTCGAGAAATTGTGCTCGAATCACATTTAAAGTATTCGGCTAATTCGGGCAAAGTTTGAGTTGGATCCAACTCGACAATCTTCAGCAACTCCGCATTATCGAAGACAACTGGACAATATCCATCTTCCAAGCTGACATCACCTTCACGAAAACGTCGAAACCATTCCTGGCAAGTCCTTTCACTCAAAATGTTTTCTCCGAATGTTTCACAAAGATTCCGGTGCGACTTCGATGCTGATTTCTTCATTTTGAGGTCATAGAGAAGGCACGCTGGCAACATGAGTTTTGGATCTTCTACCGAAGATTATGTAATATTTAATGATAGTTGTGAAAATAATTAGAATGAATAAGCAATAATAATACAATTTAATACAATTTAAACCGGACCATCACACTTTCAAATAAAAAAAAACTTTCGTCCTCGGAAGTAATCCGCAGTTTCTTTTGCAAGTACCTAATATCAAAGTTTTTCCGCATTTCTTATGCATGTACCTAATATTTGTTAAAAGTTGAAGTAATACGGGGGATAATTACCGTAAAAACCCTAATAGAAGAGCATGCCCTTCTATTGTTCAAGATCTTTTCAAGGATTTTGTCAAACAAAAAAGCCACTTTTTACAAATTTTAATATGAACTTTGGCAGTAAACCACCCTTTCCAAGCGCAACTTTTTAATTAATTAATTCATGTAATATAAATAAATAATAAATATTAACAACTTGAATAACAATAGATTAACAATTTCAAATGAAACAATGTTTGAATCATTAACATTTTAACATTCGAAGAATTTGGCCAGGATTTCAACGTCGCTGTTGATGAATTTGTTTTTCACATCCTCATTCAGGTCGATTTGCTCAAGCAATTCAGCGCAAATTTGATCAGTTCGTGTACTTGAAAGTTTCAACCGTTCAGTTTGAATCGGGCCGTCCTTGCCAAAACAGTGGATTTGATCGTTCTCGGATCCACCAACTTCGTTTGCAATTCCACAAATCTTGAAAGACTTTTCAATCAGCTTCTTTGAAATACTTTTTCAAGCATTCACGATCCACTGTAGGTAAACGTCCATCGGGGCGCTCTCAGATTGCTTGCCTTTGTCTTCTCGTGGTCACCATCCATCATACACTCGTCGTAGACGTGACGGATCTTTGCTTTGAATGGGTGGTTCCAAGAAACGCCAGCCAGTTGGAGGAATTGCGTCTTTCCTTCGGACACCACAACCTTATCCAACTTGAGCGACTTGAGCTTCTTTTTTTGTGTCGGCGCTGATGTGACATCGGAATGAGTCCCAAACGAGTAGTCGCTTCTTGAACGAAATTGATCCAAGTCCGGTCCAAGCAGATTGATGTGAGCGTGTCATCGAACCACGTCTTTCCAGCTCAAACAAGATTGAACTGGATTTCTTTTCGATGGCCGGATCAGCGCGTTTCCTGTTAAGCAAGATAGGTGGGCGGGACGTGATTCCATCTGATCTTCCAGTTAACATGACAGTGATTCTGGTCTTTTCGTGATTTGGACTCAAGACGGTGATCTCCTTGGCTCTTTGTGTTTCGACGCATTTGCCACCAAGCAGATCGAGTCACGGCCCTATTTCATCTGCTGCATAGAACAAATCGTATCCTTCCTTTTGACGAAGCTGTGAGAGATACTTTACAAAGCTCACAATGACATCTTCGAACTCGTTTGTCGGCTTTTGAGCAATCGAAATGGGAATTCGAGGAGAAAACCGTTCCGTTTGAGAAACTTCTGAAGCCATCCTTCAGTGGCACTCAAATTGTTGTTGAACTCTTTGAGTGGGCCATCAGATCCAATTTTGAGAGCTTGATTCTAAATTAAACGACGTGAAACCTGACGACGTAAAATTTTTGCTTCTCATTGTTCGCTAATCCACTTTATCAACTCGGTCTCCATCTCAATCGATGTGAGATGGCGACCGGCTCCCTTTAGCCGCTTTGCTTGATTTGATTCCATTTGAGCGAATTATTTTTCCTTTATCGACCATTCTTGAATCATTGCTCGTGTCACTCCGTACTTCTTTGCAGCTACACAAACCGAGATATCCTTAGCGTGTTTGACGGCCTTTAGTTTGAAATCCTTCAAATTGCGCTTTCGTGAAGGGCCGAGCGGTTTCTCGTCGTTTTCTTCTCCACCGGCATCCGCGTTCTCTGGGTTGCCATCAAGCAAAGTGTTTTCCCGAAATGATTATGAATGAAATGAAATGAATCAAAAAAAAGTTATTAAAATAAACAATAAAACAAAAAACCTAATGCCAAGCAATAATTAAAAACTAACAAGAAATGATCGAATGATTCTAAGATTGTAAGAAATGGTCGAATTTTTTTAAACAAGCAAACTTTTGTTTATCACGGGAGTACGGTAACATAGAGCTGAAAATAGAATGAAGGGGCTCTTCTATAGGAGTTTTTACGGTAGTCCAATTTCCATAGGAAAAAACTTGGTGCCCGTAAAGCTGGTAGAAAATTTTAGCACTTAGAAAACAACACTAATTAGCTAAGAGATTATGTTTGGGCTGAATAGCTTTGCACTGTTTACATTTTAAGATAAAAAATAGCAAAAAAAAGTATTCACAGATTTGACACTTTATTAGCTAGACAATCATATTCGTTGAGCCAGACAACATTACTTAAAGTTGCAATGTTGATTTTCATAAATTTAGTATCCTGAAGCCACGACTACCAGAAAGGAAAATGAAAAAGTGGCAGCTAAATTGAACCCATTTCGAGAATTCGATTCAGACGATCCGCCAAGCCGCAAAAAAGAGTTCAATATTTTGATAATCGGCGAAACCGGGGTGGGCAAGTCAACGTGGATCAACGGAATCTCTAACTACATAAAATTTGAATCCTTTTCTGAAGCTATCTCTGAAAAAGATCCGATTTGCTTGATTCCAATGCAATTTGATGTATACAAGAGAGATATGGAAAAAACAACAATCAACATGCGACCAACGGCACGAGATGACAGAAACGAGGCCGATTCGAGCAACGGACAATCGTGCACCCAAGCTCCGAAAGTGTATAGATTTGTCACCGATACTGTTGTTTTCAACCTAATCGACACACCGGGTATCTGCGATACACGAGGAGTAGAATGCGATAGAGAAAACATGAGAATGATCGTGAAATGTTTGGCCAGTCGTGACAAAATTCATGGGATTTGTCTGCTGTTGAGGCCGAATGAGAGCCGCTTTAAGACCGCCTTTCGTTACTCGATCAAGGAACTATTGGTCAGTTTGCACAAACACTCAACACCAAACTTTGCGGTCATCTTTACGAATTCTTGTAACTCTTTGTACAGACCTGGAGAAAGCATGGGCGTTTTGAATAGATTATTTGAGGAAGTGAAGGCTAAGAGTCAAAACGAGATTTCACTCACAGAAAAGAACGTCTTCTGTCTTGATAACGAAGCAATCCGAACTTTGTACGCGCTTTTTAATGGAGTTCAATTCGCAGAGACGGTTCTCGAAAACTCCTCAAAGTCCTGGAACCAGACGGTCAAAGAAACACACCGCTTATTCAAGTATTTCACCGGGTCCACATTGATTCCGCATTTGTCAAACGAAACAAAAGTTGTGGGTGCTGTTCGGGAAATCTCACATGATTTGTGCGAAGCTTTAGTCGATTTAGAGAACAAAATAGAGTCAGAAAAACGTCTTTTTAGCCTGCTTCAAGGTCAATTGAGAGCTTTAGAGGGAAAACTCGAAGTGCCTGAGAAACCGTTGCTTGTTGAAAGTTATTATCTGGAAGAAACACCTCTAGACCTGCCAAATGTGGTGTGCCATGGAAAGGATTGTTGTGAAACTATCCGGGATTTCAGCACCGACACTTCAAAAATTTTCCATAAAAAAGTGTGCTTGGTTGGCTGCACATTGAAAAATGTCCCTGAAAATCAAATTGGGGACACGAATTTGAGGAGTTGTCCGATTTTTGACGGCTCTGGAATGTGCTCCGTCTGTACATGCTCTTGGCAATCACATATGCATTTGCACAAGTCGCAAAAAAAGGAGCCCGGAAAAATGCAGGTGATAGCTCAGAATCCCGACGATCGAACACTTCTTCTGCACCAACGCGTTTCAAAAAATGATTCGATCGACAAAACGCAACTTAAGCTTGAAAAATTTTATGAAAGCCGCACGAAAATTGAACAGTTTACCTATCCATATTTCGAGTTTCTCAAAGAGAATGCGATTATTTTGAGGAATGATGCATTTGAGGATTTTGCTAACGTATCGATAAAAGAACTCGAAACGGCGGTAATGAGTGAAGGAAGTATTGCTGAGATCGAAAAGCTCAAAAAGTTGATTGCAATTCAGCGAACACAAGAAAATCTCTTAAGTGTCAAGAAGTTGGTGCGAGATTCCGAGAAAATAACACTAGCCAACTACGCCGGCAGAATCGAAACGCTAAAAGCAGACCCGTGTTTTGGCGGAGAGCTGAAAGCATTGATGAATTCGCGAAAATCTCTTGACTCAATGGAATTTGAAGTTGTGGAAGTGGAAGGAATGGACAAGTATGTGTGGAGACAAAAAATGGCAAGTGAAAGCAATTCTTTTGATCAAAAGCACAGTTTGTCCAGGAAAGCGTGTAAAAAACTTGAGAGAAAGAACTCGAAATGTAGGCTTAGCAAAAGATCACTTATCAGAATAAGAAAAACTTTTGATGATTTGAATAATTAAGAAATTTAGGTTACTAATCCCTCAGCTTTATCGCCGAAAAAAGAAGTTGGTGATGTTGTATCAAAGCCGACTAAAAAGGATGTCAACAACGCGAGTCAACTAATAGAAAAATTGGTCGAAAAAAGCGCTTCAACGCACTCCAACGTTGATGTTCTGAGTAAAATGCCCACTCCAACCAACATTAACATGGAAAAATGTCTTATGTCTACGATGAAACAAATGACTCAAGAAAAACAAACCGAAGATCAGCCTCAGAACTCAAATCAGTTAGTTGGTGCAATGGAACAGAAAGATTCCCAAAGAAAATCTTGGCTGGATCAAAACTTTTCCGACAAGTACTCTGTCGGTATTCCACAGAGTCAAGAATCCCTCACGCAAGTACTGGAACGTGAATCCAAGTCGCCTGAAGCCTGTTCTCCCGTAAACTCTACAAGCAAAGATTCTGGTCGAGGGTTTTCTGTCACGAATGACCCTTGGAAAACTGTTGGTTGTCGTCTCAAATCTCCACCATTACCAGTGATCTCGAATTCCGATGGGCCTTATGGACAAACAGAAAAGATCGCTCATTCAAAACATTTGAGCGAAAACAAGCCACCTTTTTTTACTAAAACAACGTCTCAAATTTCTGAGAAAGTCTCCGAACCCATCAAAGTGAACCGGTTCAACTCAAAGACGAAAAAATCGATTAACATTCTGGTTCTCGGGCAAACTGGAGTCGGAAAGTCCACTTGTATCAATAGTTTTGTCAACTACTTGACCTATGGATCATTAGAAGAAGCTGTCGATACACCTTATTGTTTGATTCCAACAAAGTTCACATTGTTAGATGAAAACTATGAGTCCCGAGATGTGGTCTTGGGAAGTCATGATAACGAGGTTTTCTCAGATCAGGGTCAGTCCGTTACACAAGGAGCAAAAGTGTATCGCTTTGAGAAAACAGATTTTGATGTTTATATCATTGATGCACCTGGAATGGACGACACTAGAGGGATTAAACAAGACAAAGAAAACGTTCAAAAGATTTTGAAGGCCATTGCACATTTCGATGAAATTCACGCAATTTGCTTCTTGTTCAAGCCAAACAGCGCTAGACTCACAACATCTTTTCGATATTCAATTGACACTTTGCTAGAAAGTTTGAGCCCATCGGCCCTCGAAAACGCTTGTTTCGTGTCTATCAATGCTCTGGGCAGCTTCTATCGACCGGGCGACACGCTGACTGCTCTTAAAGCCTACTTTCAAGAGTTGGGCACGAAAGGAAAGATTTCAGTGCAGATCACCGATGAGAATACGTTTTGTGTGGACAATGAGTCTTTCCGGTACATCTGTGCTCGTGCCAATGGAATAGAATTCACAACAGAGGAACGGTTAAGCTTTACAAAGAGCTGGACACATTCATCGGCAGAGTTTTATCGCCTTTTGAACTATGCGGCACAAATTAAGCCTCACAAAACTTTGGATACTCTATCAATTAATGAAACGAGAACCTGGATTACACAGCTGATTGATCCACTTCTGAATATCAGTTCGGTGATACAGGAGAACATTCGCCAGCTCGACATTCAAAAGAAGCAGCTAGAGAAATCTTTAAGCATTGAGGAGTTGCGCCAGCTAGCCACAATTCGTATCACTACGTTGGAAAACATTAAGCTGGAAAACCCGTACATCGTTTGCTCGAGTCCGAAATGTGTTGGCTATGAGACGATCAACGGGACAGTGGCCCCGGTTTATCGACAAGTTTGTCATGAAGAGTATCCATCTGTACACCCGGAAAATGAGGCCGAGCTAGCGTTGCATGCCGCTTTCAAAACTGGAAACCTCTGCAAAAAGTGTGGTTGTGGCGCAGAAGCTCATCAACGAATTATCTATCAACAAAAACTTAAAGTGGTGCCGGTTGCCAACCCACAAAAATTCCTTGAAAATGAGACCAACGCGGATAAATTGAAGAAACGATTGGTTGAGAAAGTAGACGCACTCAGACATGCCTATAGCAAAGAGCTGGATTATACGCTGTTTGGAATGGCAGTATTTTCTTTATTTCTCACTAGAAATGCAATTACAACGAGTGCAAAGGCGAATATTTTCAAACAAAGGCTTGAAAAGTTGCTCAGTATCGAGCTTGCGAAGGTGTCTCGGGTGAGTCAAATAGGGAAATATACAGTAGAATTCATAAAATGTTAAACTCTCTAAAAATTTCTGAGCTTTAAGCGGGACAATAAGGAAAAAGGAAATAGTTTAGAGGTCAGTCGTCGCTCTAGTGCTTGCAACTTGATGAACTTAAGAAATCAGGAGTTAATCAGGATTTGCTTGAGTTGACTCAAAAAATAGAACTTTTATTTATCAACAATCAAACCTAGTGTCTTATGGAGGGAAACTTGAAATACCCGGTCAGTATTGGGGGTAGTCACTAATGAGGCTTCAATGTAAATAAATTTTACAGGCTGACAGGACCAGGTCAATTTTACACGCTGACAGGACCAGGTACGATCAACTGGTTGAACTGCTCCTTGTCTATTTGATGGTGTATGAGAAACAACAGGAAATGTTCCAACACACTACAATTGAAGAGTTGCAAAACATTCGACAAAAACTGTTCACCATGAGCCATTTCGGCTCAAAAATTGGCAAGGTTTTCGCCATAAACGTCGACGTTGATCATCAGAATTTTGCTGCCGAAGTCGTTCCTTGCAATAGATCGATAAAACAGTGAGTTGAAAAAAGATATTGAAAGATAAATAATTTCAAAGTTTTTCTAAAGATTTCAAAACTAAACTCATTATAGCTCATTTGGCTTTGAGGAAGCTAAAACTAAAAGCAAGTAGTTTTTCGCAAAACGATGATGATTTTCAGAAAAATAAAGCAAAATAGCAACATTCCATAAGGGATTCTATAGTATACACCTAGCGCTGACTTAACGACTGCTGTTTATTTCAAAGTAATCGTAATAAGAAAACCTTTTATCGTTTTAAATTCAAATTTGCAGGTGGGCTTTTCTTGGCCGGAAGCAGGTTTTGAAAGCTTTTTGGAATTATCACTTTTGATTTTGAATTTTATCACGAGAATCCAAAAGCTTAAACCCCTTTTTTTGCAACTTTTCTAATTGAACTGATTTTTTCATGGTTCATTTGTTTTATTTTGAACAATAAACATCTATTCTTCTTTTATTATTTTAAAGCCAGTCTTATTATTAAACTTTTTTGGCATTGGGTGGAGTCATACTAAAAGTTGATTCGCTAGTTCTTTCTTTTTTTAACAAGGATTTAAAGTGCTTTGGAGATATTTTCGAGAACTAAAGTTTGATTGGTTAAATATTAGACAAACTTGTTGGAGGAATATCGCTTTGGTTAGAACGGATTTTAAAATATTTAAAAAAGAAACGGAGCTATTGTGCTCAGAAATTTGTTCGGCTTTTGTGTAGTTTAGGGATCTCTTGAAAGAATAACCCGGTTTTAAAGGGACTAAACTTTTTTTAGCAATGCTATCATATTTTGCTTTGTATAGTTTAATAAAAAAGAATTGAGGGTGCAAAATTATAGCAAAACTAGTTTGAACGGACAAAGCAGAAATCAGAAGTTGTGTCAGACAAAAGCTTTTAATTAGAATAGAATCGTTCAACATTTTTCCTTTACTAATAAAGTGGTGGAAAAAAAAGTATTGGGCCTCCAAGACTGTTTTTAATGTTTGCTTCAAAAAAATTACTATTAAAAGCTTTTTGTATCCGTTTTAAATTTCTAGAAACTAGAAGAACTAAGCTTCGTAATGTTATACAAAGTTTTGAATTGCAAAGTCTATTTAACGAGCAAAAAAAAAATGTGTGTACACAATATTTGCAAAAACAGGCGGAAAAAAGTTTGGGGGCACCTATCGAAAAAAGAAGAATGCAATTCAATATTTTGTCGGACCACCTCGGGCTTTAATGATTGCATCCATTCGTCTCGGCATACTTTCGATCAATTCGTTGAGAGTAGATATTGGAATTCCATGCCAAATCTCTTGAACCTCCCAAAGATTTGAGAAAAATTTATGTTCTCTCGAATTTCGTTGGGTGTGAGCCCATAAATGCTCGGGAGAATCAGGAGAATAAGGCGGAGTTCGAAGCAGATACCGTATTTTCCGTAATAGTAGTGAAGGCTGGAGAGGGATTGAAAAAATAGTAGTGCGCACTACTATTACCGAGAATACGGTAAACGTTATTAATCCGAAACCAGCCCGGAAAACGAATAAAACGACGATTTGATATCTCCACTTTTCGGCCCATCATCAAACCGCTTGTATGTTTTGGGGTTAGATAGTATTTCACAAGCAAAGAACTCTTGAAAAGTTGATTTTGAATGAGCTAAGACGTGACGCGACTTTTCTAATGACAAGATAGACAACCTTTTTATCGCGATACCCATCCGAGCAACCCTTCGCGACAAACGAAGACTGAACGTTTATTTTCGAATTCGAAACAATGTGCACGCAAGTTTTATCTCCTGCAGTGCAATTGATTTTTGTTGGTCCTTTGGTAATCTGAAAATAGGGATAAGTTTTGTGTTGTTTTTGAAGAGTCAGACGATACTTGTGTAAGACCACAAAACAAAAATAAGTGCATCGTGCTTGTTTGACGCGTATGAACTTTGAGATTTCCAATACTCAGCAAGCACACTCACCCCGGGAATGAAAGCCCATCACTGTCGTAGATGAACTTGATGAGTTAAAAGGAAACAACTGAGAAAAAAAACAAAACTCTTTTGCATTTCTTTGTGGAGGAACTAAAAACTTGAATATCTTTAAAAAATGTTGGCCAAAGAATTCTTGATTATTTGCAAAGAAGCCGAGCACCTGTCTCCGATCTCCTTAACTGTAATAACTGCTTCCGGGATTATTGCTTTAAAATTTTGGACTTGGAAGGATTTCAGAGCATTAAAATTTATTCTAAGTAGTTGAAGCAACCAGTTAAAGAATTTCAAATTGTTATCCACTTTCGTTTTTTATTTCTTTATTTCTCCGCGATATGGCTAGTAGTGAGGGTCTGAAAACACAAAAATGCGGAGATTTCTCGGATTCAGGCTACATTTAGACTTTTCCAACAGCAACTTCTTACAGATAACAGAAAATAAAATTGCATTTGTAATAAAGATATTCTTTCCAACAATTTTCTATTTACAATACTTTCCCGCAGTCTATTTACAATCATTTTTTCGTTAATCAGCATTGATTCGAATAATGACAAACTTGAAAAGCACTATTTTTCAGAAAATGATTTATCGAGGCTAGACAAACATGAAACCTATTCAAATGTCTTCTTGATGTTATTTTGATAGTCATCTTGTTACAGGTGAGGGTTTTAAATTTCGCGAATGCCGCTTAAATTCTCATTTTCACACCTGATGTCACTATTTTTTGTATTAAATGTCCTTTTTTCAACTTTTTTTTCCTATTTTCTTGATCCAAGGTCAAAACCGTGAAATAAACAAGCGCAGTGTTGCACAATTTTGAGAAACACTGAAGAAATTTGAGAGAAAATGGCGAAAAACACGAAACAGAGATGCGATGTGTTTTGTAGAGAGAGTTTCGATGAATTGGGATTGGGAAAGGGAAAAAAAAGTGAGTCACTGCAAAAAGCGAACCCACAAAAAGGGTCGCAACCATTGAAAAAGCGTCGTTTCGTATTGACATGTAGTTCTCGGAATCAAAAAAGATATCATATTGCACAGGGTTGCACAATTTATTGACAATTAATATTCAGCTACGTTTTTATTTTTTCGATTTTCATAGCTTTTGATCGACTATAAGAAAATGACTGAATCACTGCATGTGGGTTTCACTTTTGACATGAAAAAACTAGAAGCTATTGAGAAAATCCCCGGAAATGGGATCCACCAAAAGATGAGCTGGATAGCCAATGAGATCAAGGCTCAAGTGAGTCCCGGTTTTAGCCTCAAAACGATCACTGAATCCGAGAAATTCCCTAAGAACAACCCATATCTGAAAGAGATGATAAAAATTGAGACGGCTAAGATAGTGCACAAACTCGGGCACGAGAACCGGGAGCAGTACCTAGCCATCGCTGAAGCCCTTCAATCGGAGAATCAAGATATTGTGACAAGAGCTCTACGAGCGACCGAATTCTTCGACGGCACAAATCGAGAATTCACCAATGTTGAGTACTTTTTCAAGAGCTTACTGAAAAATGTGTCACTGAAGACTCAAAACCAAATCATTCAAAAGCTGGCTCGTTGTCTAAAAAATACGACACTCGGTGATGAGTTTTTTAAGGAAACAGAGGCAACTTTTGGAATAGCTCGAGCTAAGGTTCTCCTAGCCGCTTGCACGGAACCTTTCATTATGGAAACGATCACAAAACATCGGCTCGTTCTCTCGAGTCGTGAACTCAATGTATTATCTCAAAAATATCCCACCTTGATGATCTGGTATTTGAAATTGAGCGATCCATCGCTGTATGACCCCCAGAAACGCTTTAATCATCAAGTTTACATTCATTCGTATCTAACTTTCCTTGTGCGGCTGATCAAGACGAATTTCCAAGCATTCACTGAAATCTATGAGCTACATGGAGTCAATGCACCTCACCTATACTTGAACAAGAAACAAGGGAAACTTTTTGCACAAATCGCTAGAGAGTACTATCTCGATAAACCGAAGATCTATTTCAAACTGCTTCGAGATGAGCATCAATATGAGAAAGATTTGGAGATCATGTTCCCGAAGATGTTGCCCGATTCGATTGACAAGTGCACAGTCAATGATATGTTCTCACTACTAAAGAACTATCCAAAAGAGAAAACTGTTTCTTTGATGTTAAAATCCTATGAAAATGCGTATGGGAAAAGTTTACTCGATGACGTGGATAAGGTGTCAGAAAGGTTAATGCGACTACTGCCAGCCGAGAATCGAATTCGATTAGCGAGAATGAAAATTGAAACGCTAAAGAAGCTTGGTCATAACGGATCAGGATGGAGATGCTATCTACCAACTAACGAGGTGCTGTCAGAGATTCGTGAACAGTTGAAGAAGATTCCTGATATGTATGAGAGGCTGAGTCGAGTCACGGAGATGCTGAACTGTTGTGAGATCAATGGAGATCACAAAGCGTTACTAGAAGTACTCAAATATGTTGCCGAGAGCCACCGAAATGAGATCCCGCAGTTTCAGCTGGGTTTCATTGAAGGCGTTGTGCGGATTTTTGAGACAATGACTTTAAATGAAGAGCACTGGAGTGTACTCAATGATATCGTTCTTCGAATGTACATTAAGAGCGAGATATCGAACTTTAGAAGCATTTCAATCACTTTCCTACAAAAAGCTTTTCATTTTCGATTTAGCCATAGATTGAGTACAGATTTTATTCTCGAGATGATGTTCTATGTGGCATCGTGTGGTTATCACAGCAATTGGAACTTTTTCATGGTTCATCCAGAGTACGAGAGGCAATGTCTCATTGAGTTTTTCCGCCTCGCTCAAGTGCAACGAGATGCACAAAGTAAACGTTGGAGTGAGATTCAAGAGGTAACCGTTTTAGGATTGATCAGATCAATCTACGAGTTTAACGAGAGACCGGTGAAAGACTCCGAAACACCACGAGAGCCCATCGAATATCAGTGGCTCTTTGATGAACTCGAGAAAATGATTGAGAAGGGCGGCCATATATACTGCGTGAGAGATATCATAAAGAAACTGAAACCTGAAATGCACGATCGTCTTTGGCCTCCACAACCTTTGCCCCCTGTCATTGAGCAAATTGATTTTAGCAAGCTAAAGAAAAACCCAGAAAGTGTACTTTTAGAATGGGAAAAGTACTTTGATGAGTGTGAAAGATCATGGGGAAGATTTAGTTTTAGTGGAGAAGTGTATAAATTTCTCAAGTCTCTTCGTTGGTACAACGAGTTGCCAAAAATCTTCATTGAGCGCTGTGTTCGTGGAATTTTCGAGGAAAAGCGGGGCAAGCTGCTGATATTGTTAGCCTTACTAGTTGACGGAGATGAGTTTGGCGAATTTGTTTCAACACTGTTGCCAACAAAAACAAAAATTGATGTCGTTGAGCCAAATGCTAGAGAAGATTTCTCTGTCACTCATCACATTGCATCAGGAATGAAGATGGCCAATCCACCGGTTTCACTCGAGCTCCTCAAAAGGCTTTCAGAAGGCGATTACCTATCCAGTGCCCTCACTGCTTTTCTCAACAACTGTATGAGAACAAGACTTCCAAAAGCCATCGAATTCGCAAAATATCTAGCCAGTCAACGTGTCTCTGTGGCCAAACACGGTGTCCGTTTGATGAGCGCGTTGGCAGATCTCGAACAACTGCGCGAGTTTCTCTCTTCTTTTTGGACAAATCAAGGGCATCACACGATGAGAACGGTCACTTTTAAGGCAAGTGAAGAACTGTTCCGTGTGGTACCAAATCAAGCGAATTGGTCTTTTCTTAAAACGATCATTTCATCAATCACCGAGAAAGACACATGGTTTGTTGGATGGCCGTTTAATGTGAGATATGTGCCCGATGAGTACGTGGCGGATTTCATGAAAACCCAACTTGAATTGATTGATCGATTGGATAAAACCGGGAATAAGCATCAAACTTTTGGCTATCTTTCCTCTTTCTTAAGAAGCATTGACACATTCGTTTGCCAACTTTTACCGGAGGATTTTTTAAAGGAACTCTTTGAGAGATTTCTTTTCGATGGAAACTTGAGTACGGTGATGAGAAATCTCTTAATCTCGATTTACTTGGCGGAAACGGGAGGAAAATTGAACGAAAGGCTGGGCACATTCTCCGAAATTTTTAAGAAAGCCGTCAAAGACAAGTGGAACGTTCAACTCGAGGACTCGCTCGTTTACTCAATTCGAGCACACGTTCACGATTTGATCAAAGCTATTGTAGTCGCTCAAATAAATCCGTTGGTGGTCGAGTGTTTAATGGAATCATTTCAAACAGTGCTCACACATGAAGACGATTCACGATCATATCTCTTGCTCGTTTACGCAAACGAGTGGATAAAATCCGAATCACCAAAAGAATTCTCAAATCGAATCGCCTTAACCTTACCTAAACTAATCGAGATCTACACATCATGGTTTGTTGTGGAAATCGCGGAGATATTGAAAGATTTCTTGATGAGAATTCACTTGTCAGGGCTGAAGAGAGATGATGTCATTTATGTAGTGGTCGAGACATTGATCGATTTCGGAACAATTGAAACAGCTCACACTGCTGTACAGCTGATCAACTCTGGCCCACTTCAATGCATCTCCAAACACTACCGTCCACTTGCTGAAAAACTTGCCAAAACGAATTACCCTGCCGTGAGAAGCCATGTGAATATGATTCTTTGAAAACTTTTAAGTTCCTTTGAGTAAATTGTTTTTCATCTTTTTATAATACACAATATAAACTGTTGAAGACAATTGAAAGCCCACATACATTTGACACTCGTTTCCAAGCTATAATGCTGATTGAAAAAATTCATTAAATCAAAAGTTTATTTTAAAAAGCAATAGAAAACTGTCTATTTTTGCACAGAGAATAGACTTGAGACTATGCAGAGTCCGTTGGCCGGAGAGCAATTAGTGAGCGGAAAAGTGGCAGTCGGTAAACAGCTCACACAGACGGCTCCCGTGGTGAGATCTCTGTAAAGAGAATATGAGAGTAACAAGTCAATGATAGGCAAGCGTATAATTGCTTTATATCATATGTTCAAATGCTCTAGTTTCTAGGTATATGAGTTAACGAACAATCCGTTAAGTTAAATGAGCTCAAATTAATACGAAACTTATTACAACTTGTAGAGAATGGCTGAAGGTAGACGCCAAATAAGTTTCTTATAGCAATTGGAGAAAACTTAGATTTTTGTTAATTTTAAGTTGTAGCCACTTTGGATTGAAACGAGAAAGCACAGCAAATGTGCCCAATGCCGCCATTTCAGGGGTTCTAGTGGTGAAATTGCGATCCGAGTTTTCGGGATTATCCAGAAGCAATGTGCAAATGAAATTTGTATAGTTTATAAAAAAAGCTTTAACCTGATAGCCAAAGTTTTGATTCTTGTCATGAAGTTGGATCTGCAGATTTGGGTTGTAGTTAATTTGGGAAAACCGACGTTGAGAATGAAATTGTACCAGGCTTTATTCCATGCAGTTCTAACTGAAATTTGGGGATTAGTGATTGAACAAATAAAAAGATATGGAAATTAAATCAGAAGAAGAGCTCTTGACTTGACAACTCACACATTTGTCGAGCAGTCTTATCATTGATGTCCGCACAGGAGAGTCCATAGTGAATCTCACCTTGAGTTGCTTGCACCGATCCACCCAATGTTTGTGAGGAGAATCTGGAACAACAAACTTTAAAATTGCTGCTAAACTCAGGGCTGATTCAGATCCAATAGCTTCGGATCGAATAGGTTTACAGGATTGGCAGCAGTTGTGACCAGGTTGTTATCTCATATCTAAAAATGAAATGAGTTAGGGGAACGATTTGAACGTCTTGAAAATTTTGAAGACTACAAGGCGGAAATTCGAGAAGAAATTAGACGCTTTTGGCGAGACAAAGATGACCAATTAGCACCATCGAAGATGAAATTTGAAGAGTTTAGGTTAGATGTTCATTTTTGTTCTTCAGTTGTTAACAATTTGTATTACAGTTTGCCAACGATGTAGCCACTCAACAGTGCAATAAACGATCACTCAAGTGGGTAATACACGCACAAAGTTTTACAGTGATTTTGCTTTGTTGGATGTCGCACAAATGATACAATGTTGTAATAGATGTAGCATTTTATTTGAGAACAAGCCGAAGAATCACAAGAATGAAAAGGGCGTGCATTGAATAGCCAAAAGCTGATTGTGATCTATAAGTGAAATGGGTGGTGGTGGGGGCAACACTGCATCCAGAAGCTGCATACTCGGTAATGTTGACACCAAAATAACGAAAGTGCTCGTAAATCTAAAGATTCATACGATTCGTCACTTTTTGTCGATTAGCCACAACTTTAGATTGTAAACAAGTGCTGCAATTACACATACCGAGCCAGACTGACTCATTCTGAGTTTCGCACTGCATTCAGTGTCCTCTCCATCATCCGTTGAACAAGGATCATAGCTCGTGAAATTGTCATTGTACCTGAATTTTACTGATTATCAAGGCAAACTATTAGTTGTGAACATTTTAGAGTCACCTGCAGACATTTTAGACATTTCAAACTACCTCTAGACATGGGAAATCGGGTGAAATCGGGGCGGCTCGAGGCGACGATATTTTATTATATAATTTTTACAGAAAAAAAGTTATTGATCTATCTAATTCTTTCTGCATTAAATAGAGTGTCTTATGGGCTACACTTTGACATGTAATAAATAGCAAAAACTCCTATGAATAAACGAAATAAATACGTTTGACCCGTCGCCCCGATCCGAAGAGGCTTTCGGGTCGGGGCGACGGGTCAAACAGGTTTTTCTCGTTCAATTCAAAAGGACATTGATAAGTATTATAAGTCAAAATGTAGCCCATAAGATGCTCTATTTAATGCAGAAAGAATTAGATCAATCAATTTTTTCGGTAAAAAGCTTTGGCCAAAATCTCGTCGCCCCGAACCGCCGCGATTTCACCCTGATTCCCCATGTCTACTCCTCACCAAACCTCTTGTGTATGATGATATGGACACACTTTTCCCTCAGTCGCTAGTTCATTTGAACATTGGTTTCCTTTCATCGATAATCCTTGTGGAATGGGATCTCTGTAGTGAACGATTCTCCATGCAGAGGGAACCCATCTCTTGAATGTTTCAGCCGCATCATGATCCCATGTACGAGGTTGACCAAAAGTGATCAGTTGGATCTGAAATTCTTTTTTCTTACTTGAAATCTAATAGTAAGTGAGAAATGCTGGGAAATGAGTGATTTTCTTGAACCTTTTCCTTAGAAGAGACACGATCCTCGAGATAAAGTCGCGCGGCTGTGATCGAAGCCATCGCTCCACTAAATGAATGTCCAGTGATGTAGAAAGTCGTGTCCTTATTGCCTGTACTAAAGTTTGTATGTATTACATAATACTTTGAAATCCTTACCCAGTATAGTCGACAATAGTTTTCCAAAGTTATTGTACCTCGACAATAGTTTCCTAAAGTGGTTGTATCCCCTTATTGCAATAATATTCCACATTTCCTTCAGAATTTCCACTCGCTGGAAGCAACAATATCAACTTTGTAATATCAACTCCTTGCGTAACCAGTAATGAATGGATCGTAGCTGTTTGAAAATGAAATCCCTTCACTCCATCTGGATGCATTAATACCCGAAAAAGCGATTACATAGTTATTTCTCATCGCTGAATAAGCCACATACATTTGACACTCGTTTCCAAGCTATAATGCTGATTGATGAATGATTTTTTTCAACTAACCTCATCGCACACAGCTGATCGAGCAATATGCATTGAATAGTCGTAATTCCATGACAATTTCTCAAAACATTTATATTGATTTAAAGTATCATAGCCTAAATAGCTGGCAGCAGCAAGATCAAAGAAACGACGAGCTGTTTTCTCTTCGTAAACAGGGTTGATTGTAATTTTCTTCTAAAAAATGAGATTTTAAAGTTCAATTTATTTTCCAAATTCTAACAAAAACTACTCACTGCTTGTTTGTCACCGAGAACGAGGAGTTGGAAAGAAAATATGAAAAAAGCAAACACTTCAAACATTTCCTATAGCTTTGAATTGCGAATTGAACGATATTTAAATATTTTTCTATTGTTTTATGTCGTTCTTAGTTTTTTTACGTATCAAAATCTCGGGTTAAGCGTACCCCTGCCAACAGGAAAATGATCTCTTTCAGCCACGTCATCAATGATTCCCATAGACTCTTACAGAGCTTACAAGTGAATCGTCAGAACACTTTACTTTTTCGGGTACTTGCATTCTTGAAATATCACCGTTTCAAATTGATTGTGAAATAAACTACCGTGTATTGTGTATTACGCTGCATTAGAGCGAGCTGTCGCTCTATTTTTCAATACTCCCTTGGAGGGTCGCTCTATTAGAGGGGGTCGTTCTAATACAGCATTTACGGCATTTGAAGAATGTGATCACCGATACAAACGTGCAATTGTTGTCTGCTTTTGACAAGTTCTGCAATTTGTTTACTCAAATCCAAAGCCTTTTTTACAACAAATGACAAATTGATGTAAAAATTTATTAAATAAGGTAAAGACAAATAAAGATGGAAAGTGTGCATTGAATAAACGGAAGCAGAGTTGACGATGATTTGATTGGTTGGTGTTGGTGTGCATTCAGAAGCTGCATATTCATTCACATTCATTCACTGAAGTCTTGATGAAACTTAGTGATTGGCTTTTCATTGATTGAGAATGGAGTCGCATCGACACAAACAGAAGCAGCCTTTTTGTCTACTTGGTTGCAACGACCTTGACTCAAATCAATTATGATATTGGATGTTTTATCAAATACCAATCTCATCACCTATATGGAAGTGGGAAAGCTATTGCTAACGAATTGACATCATTTTTGATATATCTAGCCTTCTATCGATCGCGTTTCTCTTGTTAGGCGATAGATCCATGAATCCAAAAAAACAATTAGATTCTAATTTTGACATTTCAAACCATCTGCTTTGATAAACGGGAATAGACAAATCAGAATCAGCATCAAAATATGAAAGAAAATGCGAAAAACCTTCTTGTCTTGTAGCACCTTGTCCTTTATTCCAAAGGATTGAGCATTGGACGGTAATGTTCATGTAGAAGTGGCTTTTCTATTTGAAGCAAACGGTAATCCAAGATCCAAGTCTTTATTTATAAAGTTTGCCTGACAGCTTTTGCAAGCCCCATTCTCTATTTTTTTGCACGAAACTTTGATTTGAAGTGTTTCGCAGCTTGATCGAGCAATGCACAGCAACACTTCTCAAAAACAATGGCAAAAGACTTTTTTTAAACGATTTGTGACAAAATACCCAAATTTTTTACAGGTTCAGGGAAAACCAAGAGATGCTTTTGGGATAACATGTTGAATTGGAGAATTGGAAAAGTAGTTTAAAGCTTAAAATTGAACCGAATCTTAACTTATTCTATTTGCTCTTAACTGAACTGATTCGAAAAGCAGACAGAGATCGAAACCAGATTCAATACACATATTTGCACGCAAATCGTGATGAATCGAAAATATTAAGTTGGCAACTTGAAGTTGATAACACTTTTCCTTAGAACTCTTAGAAATAACTATAATTTGCATGATTAGAGAAAACAATTAATTCTTTATAAAATGATCTTTAGAAGCTTTGAATAAACTTTTGTCTTCGGTTTTCTTCAAAGACAGGAAGATGGAGAGTCAAAATGGTGGCAATTTAGACCAATTTATAGCCAACTTCAAATCACCAATCTAATCTTACAAGGGGCTTAGGGCAGAGCTTGAAGAATCTTTCGCCGCACGATCGATCACATAAAGGGCAAAGAGAAAGCCCCTCCTTTCCTTTATTTTCCAAAAAAACTTCTTGTGACTGAAGAAACTGTGACTGAAAAACGTTTATTTGCGAGAAGTGAAATGTTTGTGTGTTTTCAGAAGAATAGATAAAATGAAATTTATTCGTGTTTGTTCACAGAAAGGAACACAAAGAATTATCAGAATTGAGAGCTTCTTTTGCAGATAAAACTGGCGAATTGATCCCATGGAGGAAGAAGCGACCATTTCCCATCTCCGTCCCAAAGCTGAAATGTGTTCATTTCGGACGAAAATCCTTTGAGAAAACATTTTGCATTATTTTACACAATAAAATTTCCTTAGATTGACTCAAACATTTTCGGATTAATTCTGCATTAGAAATTCAAATCGATATCGATGCTTTCATGTGGAAAATTTCACCATAGCATTGGTGTCGAAATCCGGATCTCCCCATAGCCAATTCGTGAAATCCAGCGGACTTCCATCCGTCCATTCCAAAGAATATTCGTTGTTCGGATTGCGCTGAATAAAGAAATTTTTATATTTTCGACGTTTACATTTAAACAGATTCTTCTTTTTTCTTATTGTAATTATTCCAGTTTCCAAATGAAACCATTATTTCTATCAAAGAACTCTCAGTCGAGCAAATCTTTTTTCACAAAGAGCCTTCCACTTGGAAAATCGCTGAAAGAATCATTACTTTCTATTTCTGAGACCTTTTAATGAGAAAAATTCAACCTTCAGTCCGATCCAGAAGTTCCAATTCGAATGAACAGTTTTTGCTAAATATTGAATGTCTTTGGTTTTATTTTCTTTCTTACCGAGTTCCTGAACAAAATCGTTCTCCTCCTGGCTGTGAATTGAGACCAAGTGACCCTTTTGTTCCACACAATATTCCACGGCTTCATCAAACTCTATTTCTTGATCGATAGCCTTTCGATGAAGATAATCTTGGTTGACAACATCCACCAAACCTTATACCAAGAAGCGGTTTTTTCAAGATACAACCATTCATCACGACACGGAATTTCATCTCGATCATTCGGAGATCTGAATGCTTGAAAATATAACTATTTGAATGGAAAAGAATACGTGAATTGATCCAATTGATCGCTTTGTTGAATCGATGAAGAAATTTGATGGCAAAGGAGGAGGATCGTGATCAACCGACTGACCGCCATCACACCCATTCCGATTAATTGGTTAATTCGTTTAGAATTAGGCGAAATTGGAAGAACGAATGGAGCGACGATGCCAAGATGGCAATGCCAAAGTTGACTGGGCAGGAATGACTGTTTTGACGGCCAGAAGGGCTGGAATCGAAGTTTTTGAAGGCCAGAGCGGCCTGAATCACTGTCTAGACGACCCGAAGGACAAGAATGACTGTTTTGACGACCTGAATGGCCTGAAGAAATTTAAAAATTGAAAAGTAACCACATTTTAACATGTGGCTTATAGAAAAACTGTGTAATTGATGTTAAATTCAGCTCACAATCGTTGGCTTTTAAGTCTTTCAACTCTAATTTCATCTATTTATATAAATAGTGAACTGGTGAGCACATACCTGAATGCAGGAGACAAAAATTTAAATGGCTAACGCTGCACCTACAAAGGGAAAGAAGACGAGAGTTCGATTTAACGGAAGCATAAACTTGAAATGAAAAAGCGGACTCTTTTCTCCTTTGTCTGTGAAGTCATGGATGATTCAAGAAAAGGGTTTGGGAGCAATTCTTTAATTTAAATTATGTTTGTCATAATTTCAACACAAAAATCTGAAATTTATTTTTTTACAGAACACAAATTTCTCCATTTCCAGATTTCTGTAGTTTTCCCTTACGATCATTTTATTCAAGAAAACATTTAATTTCAGTAATACAATCTGTCAAAAAATTATAGACCCTGTTTTTTGCTTGTTTAGAGCCGGATATAAGTGCTAGTCCTGTGAAAGTATTTTTTTAGTTTCTTTATTGTAAAATAAACAACCCATGCAAAATTTGAATTCATTTCACTCATCCAAAGTACTTTATCGCACAAAAAACGCGTATCGATGTGCTCTACACGCTTGGGCACTCAAAGAGGGACATTGCTCGTCGGATCGGACCTTCTGAGAAGTGTATTCGCACGTCTCTCAAGACCAAAGTGACTCCTAAGAAGAAAGTAACACGGAGCTGGAAGAAAAAGTTGACCGATCAAGACGAACGCGCAATTACGGGACGTCTTTCCAACATGACGACATCACTCGAAGAGGTTCGCCAGGAGATGAAGCCTCCGGTCACTCGCCAAACTGTGCGCAACGTTGTCAAACGATCTACAATACTCAAATGCAAACTCATGAAGCAAGCTCCACGACTTACAAAGAATCGATTTCGCTTTCGATACAATCGATTTCGCTCAAAAGAACCAGAAGACCAAATGGGAAGGAGTTGTTTTACTAGTATTTCTTATATATTTCAGATCATTTTAGATCATTTGGAGCGACGAAAAGAAGTTCAACCTTAATGGTGCTCATGGTTTTCGAAGATATCGGATGGATTCACGAAAGACGGGTATGGTCTTCAGCACGAGGAACTTTGGAGGTGGATCATGTATAGTATGGGGAGCCCTTCGAGACGGTGAGCTGGTGGGCTTGAGCTAGTTTATTTCGACCCGGATGACATCGCTTGACTATCAACAAGTGTTGGACAAACATCTAACCGTCTATCTGAACAATAATCCGGGCAATAACTTTATTTTTATGCACGATAACGCGAGTATTCATGCAAGTTGCTCCACAGGAGATTGGCTGACAAAACGGAAAATCGACACTGGGCTAGCACTTATGTCCGGCTCTCAACTAGCAAAAAACAGGGTGCGACTATAATTTTTTTGGCAGATTGTATAAGAGCAGTCTACTCGTGGGTTCATTTTTGCATTAAAATTAGAGAACATTATACCCCATTCTTAGGTCTGCTGTGGTCCAACTGAAAGTCAAATAGCCTAAAGTTGAGCTTGACCTGTTAAGCTTACCATTGGCCTGGAAACCTTGTTTGAATGTTTGGCTTCGTTTGGGCTGACTTTACCGAACAAAAATGTTTAATCAACCAACTTATTATATTTTATATGAATTTATCCTATCTTTTCTTTCAATGCCAATAAATTTCTATACTTTATATTGTATTGTCAAGAAGAGACCGGTTGAGATGAAAGAATATCAAATACCTTTGATGGTTTCACAGGTTTGAAGATTTCATCAAGTTTTATGCAAACTGAATGCAGCTTTTTGCCATGACATTGGAATAGAGTGAGCTCCGCTTGGTTAATATGTAATAGAAATGAAATAGAAAAGAGATTACGGGAGAAAAGACAAAATACAAGGAGAATCGGGTCCGCTTTTTCATTTCAAGTTTATACTTCCATTAAATAGAACTCTCGTCGTCTTTCCTTTTGTAGGTGCAGCGTTAGCCATTTAAATTCTTGTCTCCTGCATTCAGGGAGTGCTCACCAGTTCACTATTTATATAAATAGATGAAATTAGAGTTGAAAGACTTAAAAGCCACCGATTGTGAGCTGAATTTAACATCAGTTACACAGTTTTTCTATAAATCACATGTTTAAATGTGGTTACTTTTCAATTTTTAAATTTCTTCAGGCCATTCAGGTCGTCAAAACAGTCATTCTTGTCCTTCGGGTCGTCTAGACAGTGATTCAGGCCGCTCTGGCCTTCCAAAACTTCGATTCCAGCCCTTCAGGCAGTCAAAACAGTCATTCCTGCCCGTTGGGCCGTCAAAACTTTGGCTTTGGCACTTTGGCATCGTCGCTACATTCGTTCTTCCCATTTCCCCTAATTCGAAACGAATTAACGAGTTGAGCAGAATGGGTGTGATGGCCGTCAGTCTTCTCCTCTTTTTCCATCAAATTTCTTGGTCGATTCAACAAAGTGATCAATTGGGTCAATTCACGTATTCTTTTCCCTTCAAATAGCCATATTTTCAATCCTTCAGATCTCCGAATGATCGAGATGAAATTTTGTCTCGTGATCGTCGTACTTTGAAGTAAGTCAGAAAGAGATTATGGAGGTTTGGGGTTGAAGAAATAAATGGATTTCCATCTTGTTACTGGCTTGAGTTAAGTTTTTAGCGTAAAATGAACTTATGCAGTGGTGTACTATAAAAATTAGCGATGCCTTTACTTTTCTTAAATTATAAAATTTAATTTTAGGGATATTCATTTTGGTTTCAAAGGCGCGGAAGTGGCTGAATGTAGCGAGAATGGCCTTCCAATGAGGGTTAATATAAACTTGGTATAAACAATGAAGGTTTCTTTAGGTAAAACACATCTATTACTGGCCTGGCGATAATATTTCTTTCACGTGCAAAGTTTGTCAACGGTTAGTTTCGTTCATAGGATCTAAATAAATGTTCTGTTCGAATTTTAGAGGTCTCGATTCAAATGGGAAGATCAAAACGTGGGGTTGGGCCGCATATATATACGACTTTTTCCATCATTACCAGAAGAATAAGGTAAAATTTTTTTCGATTTTCTACTATCGTTGCCACATTTAGAAGTTGCAACACGCGGATATTGTGACGCAATTTTTACAACTCAACTCCGAGATCAATACAAGGCCGAACGAATTCTATGGATCAGAGAATTGTGGTCCGTCTTACATGCCCCGAAATCGGTGCGTTTCTTGTTTTTGTTAAAACGTAAGATATTTATTGCCTTGTTTGTTTGAAAAAAATTTGTTTTTTTAGAGATCAGGCCACAGGGAACGGATCTTTGCCCCATATCCGACGACAAACGTTCGAACAAATTGGCAATACGTTACATATTCATAATGTAAGTTTATGTTTTTACTTGTAAGTTTATCTTAATTTTTAGGCTGAAGCAAGGGCGGCTGGTGTGTATTTTTGCTACGATGACGCGATCCATTTGGTATACTTTCACAGCGGCAATTAAACTTTTACCCATGTTTAGGTCCGTTATTTCTATATTCTTCACGCGATGACGCCGATCAATCGAGTCAATTGGATGGATGATGCCAATTCGAAGAATCGGGTTCCACTGAGTCCGGATATGGGTCAATTTTAACAATTCTTTCTAAACTTACACATTTTAGGCAAAATGGTCAGTGAATCGCCTGACAAAAAGGCTTCATTACCGCATTCATTTCAATGTGGCAATGATTGCGGGAAACCGATTTATGTAAGTGTGTAAGAATATTAAAGTAGATTTTATGGAATTAAGTGCCCGATTTTCCATTCAGCCACACTGAATATTAGCGCACCCTATTAAAATCTAGATGTACCCGGATACTCAATGGAAATTCAACTGGCATCCCATCATCTATAGACGCGAAAATGAGTCGATGTGTGATAGCGGTGATCTTGAGTGCGAAAAATATTTGGTAATCCATTCCTTTTTAAGTGCATTCAAGGTAATTTTAGAAACTTCACCCCGACACCGACGACTTAGTGATACGAAAAGTGCCGGAGACGCCGATACATCTGTATCTGCTCCTACGATCTGATACGATTGAGGCTAGTTTTTCAAGTTTTAGTGAAAATAGCTAATCAAGCGCCTTAAATTTCACATGTTTGGAATTAATATTTACGTTTTAGAAACGATTTTACACGGATGTGGCGTTGGCTTTTCGATGGGAGCCGTGGAGTAAATGCGATTTGGGAAAAACACATCAACGCCGAGAGGGTGGGGGTGTTTCGATGAATTTACTGAAATTTGGATTTTAGCAAGTTTAAAATCATTTAGGACACTGTGTTTTGCAGCTCGTCGATGGTAAAAAGAAAATGGAATCGTCAAATGCTTATACGCAATGGACGAGGTACCTTTTACTGAGTTTTAAGCTGACTTAAGAAAAGTGGTTTAGGTGGATGTCCCGATTGGATAGCATTTTCAGGCTTTCTGGAGGAAAGAATACGACATTTGTGAGATTGCACAGGTAAGAGTTGTTTGCGAAAATTCATACATAAAAGGAGTCAATTGCGTTTTAGTTCAACTGTGATGACGATGATCATGGATCAACCAGTGAAGACCGATTGTGGGCCGAGAGAACGATCGGGGAGTGTTCGAAAGATTGACAATTTCTATGAAAAGGTAAGTTTTTACCTACTTGAATGGCCTGTTTTAGGTTTCACTCAAGCCTTTGTCTCAATTTTTCTTTAGGTAATCTTTCCCTCGTTGGACATCCCGGGAGAACAATTCAACCGAAAGAAATTCACATTGAACAACGAGTGGAGGGCTTGTTTTAAGTGAGAATTCTGAGATTATTCTAACTTTGATTTACGAGATTTCTTTTGGAATTGAGCTTGCGATAAAGTAAGAGATGATGGAGCTGTTAAAAAAATGTCTTTTAGATACAAACACTCGGGAGAAAATGAGGGAAATGGATCGTATTCGGATATTGTTGGCACCTATGTGATCGAAACAAAGATGTGCCCCTAAAATGTATTTATTACTGTATACGTATTGGGTTGTCCAGTTATGAGTGCACGTTTTTTACTATTTTGTTAATTCCTCAAGATACCGAAATCAAGAAAAAGATATATATAAGTATTATTCGAAAGCTGAAGATCTCCTCTACATTTTGATATAAAAGGTTTTTGAATTTGTCCAGCTTTTGGGCAAATTGACTGCACAGAAGAACAGGGGGCCAAAAAATGGAAGGGTGCCTTTGGATCAAGTTTTGGCTTAACAAATTGAGTTAACCGTTTGATGTTTGGCCAATAGATATATCAATACAACCTTTTTTAAAAATATAACAATTTCAAAGCATCTTTACTTTTCTTTTCTTTTCTGGGCGGTTATTTTACACCATAAAACTTGAGGAATAGCTAAGCTGGAATGGGTTTTTTCGAAGACGACCTCTCCCTTTGTGCAGTCAATTTCCCAAAAAGTTGAATGAATTCAAAAACTTTTTATTCCATAATGTAGAGGAGATCTTCAGCTTTCGAATGATATATAACACTCATATACATCTGTTCGATATCTTGAGAAATTTACAAAATAGTAAAAACGCGCATTCATAACTGGACAACCCAATATATCAATGTTTGTTTAAAAGAATCCATGAAATTCTGTCTTTGGTTTTCTTTGTTTGTCGTGGTCAATAAATGTCTCAAAACAGCCTGTAATACAACAAGAAGCTAACCTTACAGTACCCTGGATCTCGTTCACTCACCTTTCCACTGTGCATATCATACTTGTAGATGGTCGAATCGCAATGATATGCACGAGGGGTGAGCTTAACGAGTGAATGAAGCGGACAGTTCAAATAAGGCAACTCCATCAACGGTCGATCGTAGATATAACCGAGAATACAGCGCAAGATTACTTGATGCCCAACGACCAGTACATCGGTCGGAAAACTCACATCTGGACTCTTTTTAAAATACTTGTCTTTCCAACTTCATGATCACCGGCTCCAATCTGGAGACCACGTCTTCGTAACTTTTACCTGATGGGTACCGATAGTGGTACTTGTCACGGGCTCTATCTTCGGACTGTCTTGAATGGAGGAGCTGGCTAGGCGCTATCATTCACTGCTTTTCACTTACCGTTCTGCTATATCTGCATAGGTGAGTCTCTTGCAAAAACCTGGCATCGATCTCATCTAAAGCTTTCCAGTACTCAGCGTATGCCCCTGCTGAGGCAACCTCGCGAGCTGTTTGCGCTGCTCGAAGCTGTAAATTAAAAGTCACCTCCATTTTGGAATCTTGACGCTGTTTTATCCAAAAAATCTCTCACCATTTTGCACATCTCCGTATCGCAGCACATCATTGACCGATCTCTGCCCTGCTCATCCCGTCCACCCTCATGTCACACCTTCACTTTTGATTCTAAATGCAGAATTTCCAAAGTCCCACACGCAGAAAGCGCCTACCTTATACTCATTTGTGCATTTCCCAGGAGTGTAGTCGTCGTAGTAACCGGCGCAAAAAGACTCCACTCCGTCCGCTTCACATTTGTCCGATTCGTCATTTTCCGTTTCCTGAAAAAGCCGGTGTTTTTGTTTTTTTGTTGCTTGAAACTGTCACTATCGAAGGCTCTCCATCCTTTCTTGAGAGAATGAGCGTTTCTTTTTCCAAAAAAGAATTCCTGATGCGATTGAGTCGTTAACTCATTGTTTGCCGACTCAAATTCCTTAATCGAAATCAACTGATGACTAAACGAATCGTGCTTTCCCCTCCTTTCCCTTTATTGCCCAACAAATTTCTTGTTTAACTTTGTCTTCTCTCCTCAATCTGTGACGAATTAGAGTTTGAATGACAACAACCAGCTGAAACTGTGACTGAAAAACATTTTGTGTTTCGAAATGAAGTGAAATGTCTGTGTGTTTTCGGAAGAATAGATAAAATGGAATTTATTCGTTTTTGTTCATAGAAAGGAACACACAGAATTTATCAAAATTCAGAGCTCCTTTTGCAGATAAAAGGGACGGATAAACCCCATGGAAAAAAGACCGACCATCTCCCATCGCCGCCCCAAAGCTGAAATGTGCTCATTTCGGATGAAAATCCTTTGGGAAGACATTTTGCGTGACTTTACACAAAGAAATTTCCTTGGTTTGATAGAAACATTTTCGGATTAATTCTGCATTGGAAATTCAAATCAATATCGATGCTTTACGTTGAAAATCTCACCATAGCGTGGGTCTCCAATTTCGGTTTTCCCCCTATCCAATTCGTGAAATCCACCGAACTTCCATCTATCCATTCCAAAGAATTTTCATTGTTCGGATTTCGCTAAATAAAAAAATTTTTTGTTTTATGTTTTATGTTGATGTTTTAATCAGATTCTCTTTTTTATGCTTGCAATTATTCTCGTTTCCAATTGAAACCATTATTTCTATCAAAGAACTCTCAGTCAAATGAATCTTTTTTCACAAAGAGCCTTCGACTTCGAAAATCGCTGAAAGAATGATTACTTTCTATTTATGTATGCCTTTTAATAAGAAAAATTCAACCTTCATTCCGATCGAGAAGAGAGAGTGCGAATGAACAGTTTTCGCTAAAATAAATATTGATTGTCTTTGGTTTTGTAAAGCATAAATTGCTACAAAAATCATAAATTTTCAGAACAAACATTTGGATTTCTAACCGAGTTTCTGAACTAAATCGTTCTCTTCCTGACTGTGAATTGAGACCAAGTGACCCATTTGTTCCACACAATATTCCTCGGCTTTATCAAACTCCATTTCTTGATCGATAGCCTTTCGATGAAGATAATCTTGGTTGACAACATCCACCAAACCTTGTACCAAGAAGCGGTTTTTGCAAAATACAACCATCCATCACGAGATGGAATTTCAGCTCGATCATTCGGAGATCTGAATGGTTAAAAAGATAACTATTTGAATGGAAAAGAATACGTGAATTGATCCAATTGATCGCTTTGTTGAATCGACGAAGAAATTTGATGGAAAAGGAGGAGAATCGTGATGAACCGACTGACCGCCATCACACCCATTCCGATCAATTGGTTAACTCGCTTTGAATTCGGGAAAATGGGAAGAACGAATGGAGCGACGATGCCAAAGTGCCAAAGTCAAAGTTTTGACGGCCCAACGGGCAGGAATGACTGTTTTGACGGCCAGAAGGGCTGGAGTCGAAGTTTTTGAAGGCCCGAGCGGCCTGAATCACTGTTTAGACGGCCTGAAGGACAGGAATGACTGTTTTGACGACCTGAAAGGCAGGAATGAATTTTCTGAAAAGTGAAAGGGCTGGGATCAGGGGCTACGAATAAATTTTGTTGTTGCTCAAAAACGAAATTTCAATGTCGCCAACCTAATAAAAACCTTTCAGGTCGTCAAAACAGTCATTCCTGTCCTTCGGGCCGTCTAAACAGTGATTCAGGCCGCTCTGGCCTTCAAAAACTTCGATTCCCGCCCTTCTGGCCGTCAAAACAGTCATTCCTGTCCGTTGGGCCGTCAAAACTTTGACTAGACATTTTGAATAAAAATTCAAGTTTTGACCAAAAACAAGTTCAAAATTTAGTTTTAAATCAATTTGCATCAAACTGTTATTTCATCGCGAAGACATTGCGCTTATAGAAATGTTTCTATGCTTTTCGCCATTTTTCCCGCGTAACAAAATGATAGATCCACCTTGATTTAACAGCTTTATTTTATAATTTTAACTAATAAACTCCAACAAAAACCTGCAACAAAAGATAACGTTAGTATTTAATAGATTTTCCGCCATTTTTGATAAGCATATTCATTCGTTTTGGCTTGCTTCGACGAGCACATCAATCTGAACTCTTCCGATTCAATTTCAGATTCCTTACAAAATTCTGATTGTCATCTACCATTATCTTGGGTAATTCTTTTTTATTCATAAAAAGCGTCTGGAAAAATAATTTATCGCGACAGAGACGTTGTCGAAATCTCAATTTTGCGATGAGAAAACCGATTTGAACGCCTTCTGACCGATATTTAGCCCACTCGAACAAATTTTCGTCAAGAATTTTTAATTCAAATTTGTAGAAAAGTATTTAAGGACCATTATGGTACCACATGTGGGCTGATCCGAATATTTTTGACCGAGCTACAAGCCCGTGAAGCCAGCATACCAGAAAGTAACCCTTTTAACACAGTACAAGGTTAAATTTTTATCTCCTGAAATTTAAAACGCTGTAACTTTTAGAAAAAATTGAAATTGGATGTCATTTCGAAAGATTAGAAGATGACAGTGATCTGGCGAGCTCTTTCCTCAATTCTTTGCGAATTCAATTTAATAAACAACCATTCTACTGGCTGAAATATTCTCTTGATATTATGGAAGAATCACAACAAGCTGGAAGAGCATTTTTTAAAAGAAGACTTTCATGTGGAAAATCAGCGATCGCTCTTTTTTATCTTGCTGCGGTGATTTACCGCAGAACATGGTATTTACGGAAAACGATCATGATTACGGGGATTGAAAATTGCTTGAATAAATTGATTTTATAATTTTAGTTCATTATATTCAGAACTAAAGCAGATTATCTATCTAAAGAAACTGCACACAAACGAGAGAATTTATTGCATCGATGGTGTGTCATGTGATGTGAATGAAGAGATGTTGTCCCATCAGAAGAAGACAAAGAAGAGAGGAGGGAGAGAGGAGGAGACGAGCAACACGAATCCCATCATCAACACCGTCAATGGCCAGGGTTCATTGAAGAGGCACCGATTCATCGTCGCCATCCTTGGGTGACTGCGTTGACTTTGGCTTCGGCTAAAGGACAAAAAACAGATCATAGTGGCAACTTGAATGGCTTTTGAAAATCTTGATAAGTAAAAATGGTGAACACCGTAAAAATTATATTTAATAGAAGACCCAATCTGTCTATTTTTCCTCTATTCTATTTTGTGCCCAGATACAGGATCCCCTGATGTTCAAGAGCTCCTCAAAAATGAATGTTTTTGATGGATTTTCATCCGCTTTCCGGTGTAATCAAGTCTTCTAGCCTATTAATATTATTTGAAAGCATTCGAGAATTTTTCAATTCTTCCATCATCAACACCGTCAATTTAAAAATTAAATTTGAAATTTGAAAATGTAAACAATTTAAAAAGTTAAAGCGGATGAAAATCCATCAAAATTTTCTTATCCAAAAGTTGGAAAACCGGCAAAATGAAAAACTTCGTTTAGAAGGAGCTCTTCTATTGGAATGTTTACGCTGTTTTATCTACCAAATCCCTTACCATATTGCACATCTCCGTATCGCAACACATCATCGGCCGATCCCTGCCCTCTGCATCCCGTCCACCCTCAATTCGCACGTTCAGCTTTTGATTCTAAATGCAGAATTTGCAAATTCCCACACGCAGAAAGCGCCTACCTTACACTCATTTGTGCATTTCCCAACAGAGTAGTCGTCGTAGTAACCCGCGCAAAAAGACTCCACTCCGTCCGCTTCACATTTGTCCGATTCGTCATTTTCCGTTTCCTGAATCGAGCATTTCACAGCTTTTTGAAACAACAAACAAACAAAATTTCCAAATAAACCCACCCTAAGGTGACAATTGAAAGGCTTCGGCTTGTTGCAGCGATCCGTGTCACAACAATCTGCAGTGCCGATTCCCTCGTAGAAGTGTGCACCAACCTTCTAAACACAAACAACTCTTTCAATGTTTATAGCGAAACGGTCACCGGGCAATGCCAGCATCCATACGACACTTTCCCCGATTTAAACGTCAACGTGACACAATGCGGTCTGTTTTCGGAACAACTTCTCTCGGGCAGTTCTCTATGCTCCGGCTTGGTCCAATTTGCGTCGTAATGGTAACTCGTAACGTAGCATGTGCGCTCTGTGGGAATTTCGTCCGAATTGCTCGACGAAAGGGCAACAGTCACAGTCACCATCAACATCATCGCCACCATAAGTTTTCGCATCGCTAAATTGTTTTTCTATAGAATGTAGATGAAAGCAGAAACAAGAAAGGGAACTTATTGCTAATCTATGCTATACAAAACTTTAGATGATTTGAAACTGAAAAACGAAAGGAAATAAAGACTTTTATCTCATTGGGTGAAAAAACGATATTGAAGAGGAAGAAAGAAATTACTTCCGCTCAAAATATAGAAAGTCTATTTTGAGTTGTACGCGCGTCTCAAACGTGTCTTTGAGAAGTGAATCAGTTTTGAATCAGTTCGCGAAACAAAAGAAAAACGATTCACAAAGCAAGAATCTGTGAAGCGAAGGTGGGTTCCGACAAATGTTTTGCACAAAAAGGATCCTATCGGAGAATTTAAGCGGCTGCAATCACCCCAACTTGTGTTCACTTGTATGTTGGAATGTTGATAGGATGGGGAGATTTTGATCTCCCCATCACATTAACATGTGTATATTTGCTGCTTCATGAATTGCACACGCATTTTGACAACATTTTCCCAGAAATTTTACTTATTTTAGAGAAAAAAGCTTTTCCAATCAGTTTTTGCATTAGTTATTGCATTTTCACCCAATGAGAGAAAACGTCTTTATTTCCTTTCGTTTTTCCGTTTCAAATCATCTAGAGTTGTGTATAGCATAGATAGATAAGTTTCCTTTCTTGTTTCTCCTTTCATCTACATTCTATAGAAAAACAATTTAGCGATGCGAAAACTTATGGTGGCGATGATGTTGATGGTGACTGTGACTGTTGCCCTTTCGTTGAGTACCAGCCACGAAAAAGAGGTTAATAAAAAAAAGAGTTTCCCCTGGTAAGCGGTAACAGCAGAAAGGTAGTTTGCTGCCTCACCCTTAAAATCATTGAAATAAAATGTTAGTTTGATATTCTTAGAAAATTTACTAAAGAAGTTTTTAAGCTTCAAGATTCAAAGTTGTCTGAACAAAAACCGGTTCTAGTTACGCCAGGGTTTTCCGAGGTTCCATCGAACGTTAGTTAGTAAAGCGACTCCAATTTTCCGAACTCCTTCGATGGTTATTAACGAGGTTCAACGGCTGTATTTAGGTTCAATTGAATTTCAGGAAGTGTCAATCAATTTTGATGCAGCTTTACGCAGGCTTCGCAACTATTCCATCAAAGCTGGCTGTTACCAAGAATGCATGCAGACATTCACTCAAGGAATCACGGGATGTACCTGCAATCGGCTCGCCGGGTCAGAAATCTTGGATCTGTCTTTGGCTCTTTCAATGACAGCTGAAGACCTTTTAAGCTAATTGTAATCTATTCAATAAATGTTAAATTTATTACTTACAGACAACGGAAATCTTACATCTGATAATTGGATAAAATAATACAGACCGTCAGTAATGAAAATCCAGTAACATATTGCCTGTAAAAGAAGCCCCAGGAGTTTCTGGCTTTTTGTTTTGCTATTCTGGCCTTATTCAGAATTTTTTTGACCAAATCACTTCTTGATTAAATTTATATCAGAACTGTGCGAATATTCGGCTTCTGATGTTTTGTTAGGCGCCGTGGGTAGAATCTTAGCTGGAGAAAGTTCGAATTTGAAACTCGGATAATTTAGTTAATCCGTATATTCCAGGTTTGCACTAATTTACAGAGTATCTCACAAGAGCCCGGATTTTCCTCGAGAACTTTATCTGCAACCTCCACTCTAATTTCATCTATTTATATAAATAGTAAACTAGTGAGCACATACCTGAATGCAGGAGACAAAAATTTTAATGGTTGCACCTACAAAGGGAAAGTGGACGAGAGTTCTATTTAACGGAGGTATAAATTTGAAATGAAAAAGCGGACTCTATAAATGGCGAGATTTAGTATATGATTCAAAATCAGAAAAATGTGGTCAACACAAGCCTTGAAATTTCAGGTGTTTCTTCGCGATCTTTTACGATGATGGCAATGCTTTTGGATCGGTTTGGGATCTCGGATATCCGTTCATTCGTCAATTCTGTCATGTCTTGCTCTGCAACAGAAAAGAATCGATTTTGCAAAGGCTTTATCTGAATCAAGACAAGTCAAGTCAAAAAATATTATCTAAAGCTGCAAAAAGACTTAACTCTCAGCAAATCTACATTTTGCTCTTTTCGATCAAAAAATTCAATATTTACCAACATCCGTAAAAGGAAATAGAAATGAAGTCATATTTCGAAATTTCCAAAGAAGTTCTCACGAATTTTAGCCAATGATATCACAGTTGAAAGAATGGAAACTTCGAAATTTTGATTTTGTTTAGCTGTTTAACTTTAATGTTTAACTCCACACAGTCATTGGGTTAGCGCATCCAGCAAAATTTTGGGATCAACTAAAGTAACAGGGCATTTTGGGTTACCCTAGTTCTATGTTATTTTGGAGCCCTAGGCTAATTTATTCAGCTTTTCTTGAAATTCCTAAGAAGTCGATCGTCTTACTTTTTAAAAGTTTTATTTTTATCTTCTTTACCTTCCATACCATCAAGCTTCTTTCGGTAAGTGTGGCTCAACTACATAATCAGTCACTTTTAAAGTCAGCTCCTCTTGGTTAATAGTGCAAAAAAGAGAATGATTTACGGTAGAAATATACCAACTTTTCTATCATTTTTCAAGATATTCAGTCTTTTTCTACCGTAATCTCTTTTCTATTTCATTTCTATTAAATATTAACCAAGCGGAGCTGACTCTATTCACTTTGGGCTGCTTTACTTCTAGGTTATTTTTGACCGTAAGTGATTTTTCCAGTTTTCATCTTATATTTAGAATCTACAAGAAACTGCACACAAACGAGAGAATTTATTGCATCGATGGTGTGAATGAAGAGATGTTGTCCCATCAGAAGAAGACAAAGAAGAGAGGAACATTGATATATACAGCAATATAAAGTAATAAATACACTTTAGGGGCACATCTTTGTTTCGATCACATAGGTGCCAACAATATCCGAATACGATTCATTTCCCTCATTTTCTCCCGAGTGTTTGTATCTAAAAGACATTTTTTTTAACAGCTCCATTATCTCTTATTTTATCGCAAGCTCAATTCCAAAAGAAACCTCGTAAATCAAAGTTAGAATAATCTCAGAATTCTCACTTAAAACAAGCCCTCCACTCGTTTTTCAATGTGATTTTTTTTCGGTTGAATTGTTCGCCCGGGATGTCCAACGACGGAAAGATTACCTAAAGAGAAATTGAGGCAAAGGCTTGAGTCGAACTTATGAACAGGCTATTCAAGTAGGTAAAACAAACTTGTTCATAAAAATTGTCAATCTTACGAACACTCCCCGATCGTTCTCTCGGCCCCCAATCGGTCTTCACTGGTTGATCCATGATCATCGTCATCACAGTTGAACTAAAACGCCGTTTACCCATTTTAAGTATGAATTTTCGCAAACAACTCTTACCTTTGCAATCTCAAAAATGCCGTCTCTTTTCCTACAGAAAGCCCGAAAATGCTATCCAATCGGGACATCCACCTAAACCACTTTTCTTAAGTCAGCTTAAAGCTCAGTAAAAGGTACCTCGATGCTTCAAAATGGGTATTCAGTTCCGAGTTCGTTTTCTTTTTACCATCGACGAGCTGCAAAACACAGTGTCCTAAATGATTTTAAACTTTTAAAATTCATCGAAACACCCCCACCCTCTCGGCGTTGATGTGTTCTTCCCGAATCGCATCTACTCCATGGCTCCCATCGAAAAGCCAACGCCACATTCGTGTAGAATCTTTTCTAAAACGCCAATATTAATTCCAAACATGCGAAATTTAAAGCGTTTGATGAGCTATTTTCATTAAAATTTGAAAAACTAGCCTCAATGATCGATCGTTTGAGAACATACAGATGTATCGGCGTCTCCGGCACTTTTCGTATCACTAAGTCGTCGGCGTCCGGGTGAAGTTTCTAAAATTACCTTGAATGCACTTAAAAAGAAATCGATTACCAAATATTGTTCGCACCAAAGATCACCGCTATCACAAATAGGGTCATTTTCGCGTTTATAGATGATGGGATGCCAGTTGAATTTCCATTGAGTATCCGGGTACATCTAGATTTTAATAGGGTGCGGTAATATTCAGTGTGGCTTAGTGGAAAATCGGGCACTTAATTCCATAAAATTTACTTTAATATCCTTAATCACTTACATAAATCGGTTTCCCGCAATCATTGCCAGATTGAAATGGAGACGGTAATGAAGCCTTTTTGTCAGACGATTCACTGACCATTTTGCCTAAAATGTGTAAGTTTAGAAAGAATTGTTAAAATTGACCGATATCCGGACTCAGTGGAACACGATTCTTCAAATTGGCATCATCCATCCAATTGACTCGATTGATCGGCGTCATTGCGTGAAGAATATAGAAATAGCGGACCTAAACATGGGTAAATGTTTAATTGCCGCTGTGAAAGTATACCAAATGCAACGCAGTATCATCATAGCAAAAATACACACCAGCCGCCCTTGCTTCAGCCTAAAAATCAAGATAAACTTACAGCTAAACTACACCTAAAGTACATTATGAATGTGTAACGTATTGCCAATTTGTTCAAACGTTTGTCGTCGGATATGGGGCAAAGATCCGTTCCCTGTGGCCTGATCTCTAAAAAAACAAATTTTTTTTAAACAAACAAGGCAATAAATACCTTATGTTTTAACAAAAACAAGAAACGCACCGATTTCCGGGCATGTAAGACGGACCACAATTCTCTGATCCATAGAATTCGTTCGGGCTTGTATTGATCTCGGAGTTGAGTTGTAAAAATTGCACGCCAACATCCGCGTGTTGCAACTCCTAAATGTGCAAAAATAGCAGAAAATCGAAAAGAATTGTACCTTATTCTTCTGGTAATGTTCGAAAAAGTCGTACACTTTTGCGGCCCAAGCCCACATTTTGATCTTCCTATTTGGATGAAAATCTCTAAAATTCGAACAGAACATTTAGATCCTATACAGACGAAACTAACGGTTGACAAACATTGCACGTGAAAGAAATATTATTGCCAGGCCAGTAATAGATGTGTTTCACCTAAAGAAACCTTTATTGTTTATACAAAGTTTATATTAACCTTCATTGGAAGGCCATTCTCGCTACATTCAGCCACTTCGGCGCCTGTGAAACCAAAATGAATATCCCTAAAATTAAATTTTGTAATTTAGCAAAAGCAAAGGCATTGCTAATTTTTATAGTACACCACTGCATAAGTTCATTTTACACTAAAAACTTAACTCAAGCCAGTAACAAGATGGAAATCCATTTATTTCTTCAAACCACAAATCTCCATAATCTCTTTCTGACTTACTTCAAAGTACGCCGGTCACGAGACAAAATTTCATCTCGATCATTCGGAGATCTGAAGGGTTGAAAATATGGCTATTTGAAGGAAAAAGAATACGTGAATTGATTCAATTGATCGCTTTGTTGAATCGACGAAGAAATTTGATAGAAAAGGAGGAGAATCGTGATGAATAGACTGACGGTCATCACACCCATTCTGATCAATTGGTTATTTCGCTTTGAATTAGGGGAAATGGGAATAACGAATAGAGCGACGATGCCGAAGTTTTGACGGCCCAACGGGCAGAAATGACTGTTATGACGGGCAGAATCGAAGTTTTTGAAGCCCCGAGCGGCCTGAATCACTGTTTAGACTATTTATATAAATAGTGAACTGGTGAGCACGTCCCTGAATGCAGGAGACAAAATTTTTAATGGTTAACGCTGCACCTACAATGGGAAAGAGGACGAGAGTCCTATTTAACGGTAGTTTAAACTTGAAATAAAAAAGCGGACTCTATTCTTCTTGTATTTTGTCTATGAAGTCATGGATGATTAAAGAAAAGGGTTTGGGAGCAATTCTTTAATTTGAATTGTGTTTGTCATAATTTCAACACAAAAATCAAAAATTAATTTTTTACAGAACACAAATTTCCCCATTTTCACATACAGTCATGAACAAAAGTCTTTACCCCTACCGAGGTCAGCTTTTAAAACGCAAAATTTTTCAACTTTTTAACAAGTTTTAAAAATTGTTTTCAAAGTATTTTGTAGCATTTTTACTCTATTTTTTATATCCCATAACCAAAAGAAACAACGATTTATTTTAGGCAACAAAGAACGACGTTAACAAAAAAAACCCTCAAAACAGGTGGACAAAAGTCTTTACCCCTTTTCAACTTTTTATTTTCTTGCTGTTGTTTCGTTATTTTTCACATAACAATGCTTTATTATTTTTTAATTCTAGTGATGCCTGGAGCCTATCTGACCACTCCCGACAAAGAAAATATTATGGAAGCAAGGAAACGAGGCGACAAAGTAAAGGATGTTGCGAGCGTATTCAAATGCAGCCCCGAAACGGTGAAAAAGCTTTGCAAGAAAGAAAAAACGACTGGAATTCTTCACCGAGCATTCAAAACAGGTCGTTCACCCGTCACAACACCAAGAGAAGACAAGGTTCTAATTTTGGCCCACAAAAAGGATCCAAATCTTAATGCTTCCGATGGAGTCAGATTAATCAAGCATCAATTTAACAAGGACATCAATCGAAAGACAGTAAGCAGATGTTTGATTCATGCAGGATTGATGACTAGAAGACCTGCCAAGAAGCCCCTGATGGTCGCCAAACACCGGAAGATTCGACTCGACTTTGCCGAGAAGTATGAAAGTTCGACAAGCAACGACTGGGCCAATGTCATCTTCACCGATGAATCGAAGATCAACCTTTTCAATCCCGACGGCAATCATTTGATCCGGAGACCTGTCGGACAACAATATAGCACCAAATACCTTCGTGCGACAGTCAAATTTGGTGGCGGATCAATCATGTTGTGGGGTAAGAAACTTTTATCTTTATGCCTATTGACTTTTTTTTTCAAAAGCGATGACTAGAAGTTCACCAGGTCCGCTCGTTCTTCTCAATTCAACTTTGGACGCTCAACGATACAAGGCGATTTTGGAGAACGATCTTCTTTCATTTGCGACCACAAAAATTGGACAAGGATGGTTGATGTACCAGGACAACGCTCCATGCCACAAGTCGCAACTGCTAATGGGGCGAGTTGTTCGCCTTGCCAACGGTGATAGAGCTCGTCTACCCGGATGGTTCCGATCGAATGGAGTTCAGCTCGTATCTGCTCCTCCCTACAGTCCGGATTTGAACGTTATCGAACATTTGTGGGCGTTTTTGAAGCTGAAATTGAAGGGAAAACGCTTCAATACCAAGATTGAGCTATGGTACTGCATTCGAGACGTCTGGAAAAAGATCGGTCCTCAAATTTTACAGGATTTGGTCGACTCGATGCCGAGAAGGATTCAAGCAATAATTTCATCAAAAGGAGGCCCTACCAAATATTAAAATACTCGGTTTTTTCTCACTATTTGTTCGAGGGGTAAAGACTTTTGTCCACCTGTTTTGAGGGTTTTTTTTGTTAACGTCGTTCATTGTTGCCTAAAATAAATCGTTGTTTCTTTTGGTTATGGGATATAAAAACTAGAGTAAAAATGCTACAAAATACTTTGAAAACAATTTTTAAAACTTGTTAAAAAGTTGAAAAATTTTGCGTTTTAAAAGCTGATCTCGGTAGGGGTAAAGACTTTTGTCCATGACTGTATCTGTAGTTTTTCCATACAATGAATCATTTTATTCAAGAAAACATTTAATTTCAGAAATATAAGAGCAGTCTACTCGTGGGTTCATTTTTGCGTTAAAATTAGAGAAACATTATATCCCATTATTAGGTCTGCTGCAGTCCAACTGAAAGTCAAATAGCCTTAAGTTGAGCTTGATCTGTTAAGCTTACTATTGGCCTGGAAAACTTGTTTGAATGTTTGGCTTAGTTTGGGCTAACTATGCATACGAATAGCTCTGGCCAGCCCAGCTCTTGCGTTTTGCTATAGTTTTTTTTACGTTTGAACAGAGAAAAGCCTAAATGGCGAGATTTAGTATATGATTCAAAATCAGAAAAATGCGGTCAACACAAGCCTTGAAATTTCAGGTGTTTCTTCGCGATCTTTTACGATGATGGCAATGCTGTTGGATCGGTTTAGGATCTCGGATATCCGTTAATTCGTCAATTCTGTCATGTCTTGCTCTGCAACAGAAAAGAATCGATTTTGCAAAGGCTTTATCTGAATCAAGACAAGTCAAGTCAAAAAATATTATCTAAAGCTGCAAAAAGACTTAACTCTCAGCAAATCTACATTTTGCTCTTTTCGATCAAAAAATTCAATATTTACCAACATCCGTAAAAGTGAAATAGAAATGAAGTCATATTTCCAAATTTCGAAAGAAGTTCTCACGAATTTGAGCCAATGATATCACAGTTAAAAGGATGGGGGCTTCCCCAAAAATGAGCACGTTCAAAGTCTCGCGATGTTTGAAAAAAACTCTGTTTCATGATGTTTGACTGTTTTGTTGTCCAAAGTGAACTTTTTCTCTTGCTCTTGTTCCCAGTGTTTACTTGGAAAAATGACGAAAAGAGAGCAGAGGAGAGGAATTTTTGAGGGTGGGAGAGTACGGCGGTTCACACCGTCAATGGCCAGGGTTCATTGAAGAGGCACCGATTCATCGTCGCCGTCCTCGTGTGACTGCGTTGACTTCGGCTTCGGCTAAAGGACAAAAAACAGAGCATAGTGGCAATTTGAATGGCTTTTGAAATTCTTGATAATTACAAATGGTGAGCACCGTAAAAATTCTATTTAATAGAAGACCCAATCTGTCTATTTTTCCTCCATTCTATTTTGTGCCCAGATACAGGATCATTGCTGTCATCGTGGCGAACTCGTAAGTAGCAAAAGCCGTTTCATCGAATGCAAAAACCCAGAATTGTTTCACCCATACCGTTTACCAGTTTGAATATTGTCTTTGAATTGATTGCAAATTTTTGAATTTCATAATAAAGCTACATTATATATACTCTGTCAAAAAATTATAGACGCACCCTGTTTTTTGCTTGTTTAGAGCCGGATATAAGTGCTAGTCCAGTGAAAAGCATTTTTTAGTTTCGTTAATGTAAAAAAACAACCCATGCAAAATTTATGGGATTTCACCCATCCAAAGTACTTTATCGTTCAAAAAACGTTTTATCAGCTGTCAAAAAATTATAGACGCAATTTAAATTTGACCATTTATTCTATCGGTATTTGTTTTCAGTTTTTTCTCCTTTTTTTGCTTATTATTTCTGTTTATAAATGTTTTTGTGATGTGGTGGGAAAAACGCGTATCGATGTGCTCGACATGCTTGGTCACTCAAACAGGGACATTGCTCGTCGCATCAGACGTTCTGAGAAGTGTATTCGAATGTAGCGAGAATGGCCTTCCAATGAAGGTTAATATAAACTTTGTATAAACAATAAAGGTTTCTTTAGGTAAAACACATCTATTACTGGCCTGACGGTAAACACGACGACATCCGTCGAAGAAGACGACATCACTCTAACACGACGACATCACTCGAAGAGGTTCGCTAGGAGATGAAGCTTCCGGTCACTCGCCAAACTGTGCACAACGTTGTCAAACGAGAAACATCTAGCCGTCTATCTGAACAACAATCCGGGCAATAACTTTACTTTTATGCACGATGACGCGAGTATTGGAAGTTCCTCCACAAGGGATTGGCTGACAAAATCCAAAATCGACACTGGACTAGCACTTATGTCCGGCTCTGAGCTGGCAAAAAACAGGCTCCGTCTATAATTTTTTGACAGATTGTATAAGAGTTCATTTTTGGGTTAAAATTAGAGAAACATTATATCCCATTACTAGGTCTCCTGCAGTCCAACTGAAAGTCAAATAGCCTTTAGATGAGCTTGATCTGTTAAGTTTACTATTGGCCTGGAAACCTTGTTTGAATGTTTGGCTTAGTTTGGGCTGACTCTACCCAACAAAAATGTTTAATGAACCAACTTATTATATTTTATATGAATTTATTCTATCTTTTCTTTCAATACCAATAAATTTCTATACTTTATATTGTATTGTCAAGAAGACACCGGTTGAGATGAAAGAATATCAAATACCTTTGATGGTTTCACAGGTTTAAAGATTTTATCAAGTTTTATGCAAACTGAATGCAGCTATTTGCAATGACATTGGATCTTATATTGTTATTAATCAAGCCTGCGTTAAATTTCCCGGCAATTGCTGGTCGAATATTTGGTGTCTGGGAATCGGCGTTCGGGTTTAGAGCAAAACAGGCACTGGTGGGGTAAAGGTCTGATTTATAAAAACCTGTTAATGTTTCTGGTACAATGTTTATGTCTACACAAACCTGGTACATTAAGCCTTTCAGGCAATCGGCGCTTTCTTTGTTGTTTCCACACTTTCTGCTCTCACAAATATCTTCTTCTTGAAGCTACAGAGCCTTCTAGAACCCGACATTTCGTTCAAGTAAACAGTCAAAACTATTTGAAACTTTCACTTTTTAGATTTAAACGATTAGGCAAAATGCTATACATGAGTCCATTATTTGTTATCTTTCCTTTAT